GTCCTGCTCTCCACAGTCATCTCTACCTAGATGTGCGAGCACCGATAGTATCTCATTTCCCGCTCACATGATCCCCTTCATGTCACCCTTGAACTTACAACTCGCCATTTTCTACTGAGGCTCCACTCGAGGACCTAGCGCGTGGCCCTTGTTAAATAAAAATGCGCTTATAGACATTTTATATAGAATGATACGACTTCATCTTAAACGTGTTTGGTCCATTTTGCTGGATCTAAATGTAGAAAGAACAAACGATGGTACGATCGAAAAGTCCATCTACAGAAAAAAAACTTGAACTAGGCAATGTCTTCATTATAACAGCTTTTTTCCCATAAGCTATAAGCGTGGATTAGTAAGGACTTTGTACGACAAAGTCAGAAAAATGTGTTCACGCAACAAGTTGGAAGACGGATTAGGTTTCATCGAGAAATGCCCAAGAGAAAAAAGGTACCCAAAAAGATTTACAAAAAAGTATAGCAGAGAAAAAGATAAGAAATCAAAATACCCAACTGTAGAAAAGGAGAAAATGTTTGCTTTTCTCCCATTCAAAGGAGATGCAGTGTCACAAAAGCATGACAAGAGAATGAAAGGAGCAATAAAAGGAAACTTCCCTGCAGCTAAACTCATAAAATTATGCCGCTCGAAACTGCATAAATAACCTGCTGTTGTCATCTACAACTGTGTTTATGAATTTGCGGTCACTTGTGATAGCAAGTACATTGGCAGGAGTGAAAGAAGGGCTTATATATCCGATTTTCTGGACATATTCCAAGAAAATTGGGTCTGAAAGGAAGCGAATATTCTCAGAGTGCAGTTCCCAGACATACTGTTGATACCGGCCATTTGGTAGAGATTTCTAAGTCCTTCAAAATAATAAATCAATAGAGGAGAGCAAATTTACTATGATTTGCTGAAGCAATTGCAATCAAACGATTCACACCAGACTTATGCATACAGAGAGAGAGAGAGAGAGTCTGATTAATCTCTCACTCCCTTTGGTAACTGAATTTTGATTTTGATTACATTAATTAGTCATCTGATTCAAGTAATCTCAACTCACTGAACATATCTCAATTTTATAAACTGTAACCGCTTTCGTTTTTTTTCGAGTTGCTATGTGAACAAGCTATAAGCTAACACTGTTTGTTAATTTTTTCTGTTTTTCGTCTTACCCCTCCCCCTTCTTTTCTACTTTGAAACCGTATAAATCGGTGATGAAAACTTAAACTAAAAAACTGTAATTCTTTCATTTTGGATGCGTCAGTTTTACAGGATTTCTTCTGTGCTACCACTCAAACATTAAAGTATGTTATTATCGTCTATATAACCATTGTAATTACAGGTAGTCTGCAGCTGATGAGAACCTATGAAGTAGAATGATATCATTTTATACTGCAAATTACCTCTTCCTTTCTTTATCAAAACTTATTAAGGGCACTAAATGTATGGAATAATAATTATTAGTTTATAGTATTTAACTGAATACTGTCTATATAAATGAATGTTTAACAACTTTTGAGGTGAGTGTTAATCTTGTGATATTACTTGGAACTGTTTTCTGTAAAATTTAGCTAGCAGACATTTATCAGTTAAGATTTCAAATAAATTTTATTACGTGGAATACGACACATACTAAATTATTATTATTATTACCTTGGGTTCTGAGTGGAGCATAGAGTTTCTACAGCACATCTCCACTTACTTCTATTTTCTGCTGTCCTCTTCAGCTAGCCAGCTCCACGACCGACCGTAGTCCATCACTCCTTCTCCTCGAACACAGACGATTTCTTCAATGTCATCCTCACACTGATGACCCACTAGTCGCTTCCCATTTTTATTCCACTCCAGCGATGGCCTGGATTGTGCGTGATGTCATTCCACGGTCTTCTCGGTGTATCCCCGATCAATTCATCTCCATTCACTCCTACAGATTTGTTGAACAATCGGCTCTTGGTTGGTTCGTTTACAGCCAGAGTTTATTTTTGCTAACTCTTTCTGGCCAGTAATGTGTTATTCAATATGGAGCCAGTGAAGGTGGTAGCTTTTGATAAGTCTGCAACTGGCTGTTGGAAATTCTTCTTGTGACACACTGGCTAATTTTCCGGCCTGTATAGAAGGACTGACTTGGCATTGGTGTTGAAAATGAGAATCTTGTTCCTTGTACTGAGTGTAGAAGATTTCCAAACTGGTTTCAGTTTGGAAAGGTAAAGGTGTATCTTGCCTTTCCGATTGTAACACATACTACAGATCGGTATATGTAGTTGGCAGCTGCTGACGTCAATCAGTAGAGTTTCCAAGTCAAAATGAGATGATCTAAACACTTGACGGTTGTTTCAGTTTCATAAAACCAAACCTAAATACAGTAAACTCGGATGTACTCAGATTAAAGAGCTGATTTACTTCATACTAATCAAATCCTAGCAAAAAATTTGGATAAATTACTTCTACACTAGATATAATTGTTTTATTTGCGAAGTAAAGAGTTTGAGGTAAAAAAAGCTATTATTTTCGTTATGTAACTCTTGGTATCCCTCAGCAACGTGCTTCCAGAGACAAAGACAGACTTTATTGATATCAGTATAAAACATGGGCACTGTGGTAGAGTAAAACTCCATTATGGATTAACTTTTATTTTTTTTAAGATAAGATAAGATAAGCTTTATTCCAAATCAGTAGTTGTGATACAGAATGGAATTCTCAGCATTTTACTACAATATTGCATCCAGTTAGTACATTAACAATAAATATAGTTCTACATAGATTAAGGTTATCTCAGTCAGTTTTGACAATGACATATTAGCATATCGGTAGCAAAGCCAAAATTTAAAGTGGTTGAGGGTGTTAGAAAAGTAGATACTACTAGCATATTTACTGGCGTAAGCGATAGCAAAATGGTCGAGATATGCAAAGTGTGAAAGAACGAACAAGAATGTTTTAAGTAGAGTTTGCAAGGAAGAGAGAAACAAAGCAGCACATAACAAAATAAATACAGAATGAAGAGAGAGAGAAACGTTGTACCTATAAATGATGTGAGTTGGAAAGACGAGATCCATTGGTTCTACTGACTATTTAATAAGTTAAAGGTTTCATGCCTAATGCATTCTTTATCTCACAGAACACGGGCTAGGTAGGGTATGGATGAGTTTTTGTACTTACTAGTGCGAGCATATAGTTTCCTATATAGGCTTCTGGTTTTCCCTGAAGAGATACATGGGGAGAGTTGTGGATGTAGAGGGTGTTGTGAGTCAGATAAGATGGATTTCGCCCATTTTTCACATGAGTCCATGTGCCTGTCCACCAGAATATTAACAAGCTGGCTAAGTGGCAAACTGCTTTTGATAGAATCACACAGTGTTATACAGTAATATTTACTGATGACCATGTTTCGAGCACAAATGATTACTGCTCATAATCACATCAAGACACTACTCTACACTCTTGCTTCATTTATATACATGAGTACAATTGATTAGACATTTGAATTAAAATCAATATAAGATGATAGAGTACATTCGGAAATAATATTAGTGTTATCAATCAGATACAAGCAGATGGGAACACTAAGATGTTTTTATACTAGAAATAAGTTGTTAGAGTGTTATAATGTGAACTGAAATACATTTTAACATTAGTTATGATCATCTGATTTGACTGTTAATAATATCTTCCATGCTTATCTCTGGTATTTGTATTGAGTCATTTCTGTTGCATGTGTTGGGTGTAGACTCGATGAACAAGGATTCAGTAGTCAATCTTTCTCTCCACCTACCTATATTACATTTTAGAATCTTAACCCTCTCCCATCCTATCGTGTGGTTGTGAGTGTTAATGCATGCGTTGCAATTGCTGAGCTTTTTTTCTAAATTATTCATCTTCTCGGGGTCAACGATTCTTACCTTAGCTCAATTCTTATGTTCCGACAATCTGATAACCTCCAATCTACTAGTTTGTCCTTTATGGTTGACCTCACTCACAGTCATTGCAACGTATTTTGTATATTATATTATTCTGTTTAGTTGGGTCCGCCGGGTCTTTTAGCCTACAGAGCTTGTCTTTGAGTGAGTTTGTAGGTTTGAATGCCACTCCGATTCCTGCTTTATTAGGAATCCTTCGTAGGGCCTCAGATGTCCCCTTCCTCCTTATATGCCATAAGAGTAGATGACTTATATTCTCTCTTATTAATGTTATCATCACTAGTTTTACAACTATTTTTAATTTGCTTTTGGTCTTTTCTGATCTTCCTAATGAATTTTATAGGATAGTTATTCAACATCAACGCCTCTGTTATCTCTTTTATTTTATGAAAGACAGACTTTGTTTTGTCGTCTTCAAGCATCCATAGTTTACTCAGCCAAAGCTTTACTAAAGTTCCATGGATATCAATCTTAAAACTAGTCATTAATATGCAGTCGGTAAATAGAATACATTTTTAAGAGTTAGGTTGCAGGGATTTCATTCGTTTCAAGTTTGACCATGGACTGATATCAGGTAGAGAACCACTAGAAAACCAGGGAGTACTGGATAGATGTGTCGTTCTAGTCTACGACCTCGGTTTTCAATTATTCTTCAACTCATATCAACCTGTGGTCAAATTTGAAACAAACAAGCCAAATCCTTACAAACTAACTCTTGAAAATTAATCTAATGCTCGCTAGTGACTGGGCAATAAGACGATGTTGTTTGGAGTTCAGGTGAGAACTCCTGACCAGTGGGGTCCACTTGGTCAAGTGGAATTCAAGTGTTGGCCACTGAGTTAAGTCACCTAGTGAGTGAATGGTGTACGAGCTTCCCATGTAACCAGGAGGCCCTGGGTTCGAACCGCCATAGGTGAGTGCTGCTGACGACTCCCAACTAGGGAAGAAGTAGCAGTCCAGGACTCCTTGATTTCTAAACGTTCTCCGTGATAGAAAAAAAAATGTAAACCCGAAAATGGTTTAAGAATTGTTCAACTTAATTTTTTCAACCTATTTTCCCCCTTTTGAAGAAGCAGAAGTCAAATGCTTTCTAAAAACAACTTTATTTCACGCCTCGCTGAATACAAATCTGCAGAATAAATTCATGACTGTAGGAAAATGATGAAAACAAACAAACAAACAAACAAGTAAACGAATAAACAGTGTGTGCAGTGAAGAAATGCCAATATAATTGTGTCTTCGTATCAATCAGTACATCACTGTTTATTTTGTTTGTTCAGAGTGTGCTGAGATGAGTGCAAACATACAGGAGAGGAGACGAGATATTTACTAATCTCTCTCTCTCTTCTTAACACAAAATTGATTATAACATGTATACACAATCTGACTAGAAAAAAAATGTTAATATTTTCGTTTGGCTATTTTAAACTCTATTTTTTTCTTTACAATTTAAGCACACTGTAAGCAAACTGAAAACACTAATAGGAAAATATATATCACAGGAGTTGTAAAAACACAGAGTAGAAGGGGGTAAAGAAGACAACTCTGCGTCACTTCTAGGGAACCTCTTTGACACGAGGACAAAGATAGTCAATTCAACAGCCAAAAATGTAGTAAATGTGAAAAATAGCATTGAATTTTGTCTATTAAAGAAATAGAAAATGACGTGAAATTAACAGGAAATCTAAGTACATATAGGTAGATATAAGTGGATGAACTATTCTGTTGAAATGGTGAGAATGGGAAGGTTGTAAGTAGGTGATGAGTTATTCTTTGAATACATGTGCTGCAAAATGAGTAGTGCATTTGTCTAAGTGACATCACATAACATAGTATAGTCTCTATTCATTATGACGAAGAAGATTTCGATGGTGGATTGGCTAACGACCAAGGATATTGTCTGAAAGAACTGATTATCACTGTACTACCCCAACGAATGGAAGACGGTAGAGCATATATTAAACAACCAATATGTTCAAGTATAGGTCTGTCTACCAAATACAATGGTCTGAATAAAGAGACTTCTGATGAGCCTAACAATCCGGATAGTAGATGAGGCCATGTTCTTATATAAGGTGAGGCTAAAGTGACACCGATGAAAACACCAGCTACATTGACTGGGTCACGTAATCCAGTAACACGCAGCTGCATTCCTCGACCAGCTAAAAGTATTCAACAGAACAGAAAATGTTTAATACCATGTTATATATGAACATTACACATAAACAAGGATAGAATAATTCGTAATTTAGCAAGTAACATGAGTGTGTGTGTATGTGTGTGTGATGTTAACTGTTTTACTAAGTCGGCAGAAAGGCGTATAGAGTAAGCATATGTGTAAGCTTTATATTATCATCTCCCTAGATTTGTGAATCCCATGAATCAGATTGTACCACGGAATGATATCAGTTGGTGGACCATTGAGAACCATGGGAGTACAGGACAGATCTTTCGTCTTAGTTTGGGGCTTACAAACCCAAGACCTTCCCCGTTACAAGGCAAGCTCGTATACCATTCAGCCACTGGGACTGAATTCAATGGGCAAACCGTGAATTCTAACTTCTACCAACTCGTGATTTTATCGTGACTACTAACCAAAGTCATCGGCTGGACTTCACCCTCACTCCTGTCTCGATGCAGTCCACTGTGAAGAGTCTCAAACTGGGACGAAACAGCTGTCCAGTACGCCCTAGTTCTCATTGGTTCTCTAACTGATATCAATCAGTGGTTTCACCTGAAACAAATAGAATCCCTACAAACTCATTCTTGAAAATCCCATGAATGTTCTGTACATACGGTGATTCTCAATGAGGAATTATTTTTCCTTTTTTCTTGTCCCATCAAATTTCAGTGGACATTCTTCCACTAATCTGCAGGAATTTACCAAGTTAAGGGTTAACTTTAAACGTTTCTCGTTATTCTAGAAAACTGTCTTGTCTATGGCAGATTTAGTGACTACTTGAGATTACGTAGAGGATCAGAGACACTGGACAACTGTCCTGTCTTTGCTTAAAATTTTTCAGCAGAGCATATCCTTACGTCCAAGAGAGGCCTTCAAGACTTGTAGCCTTTCGTTGATGTCGTCCAACTTCTGCACATTACAAATACAGCAAAGTTACCGTTTTATTTTCATTTCAGAAGCGTTACTTCCACAGTTAGCTTAGTAGCACTTATGAGTCACAATGTTTAAATAAAACGAGGGGAATTCATCTAAGTGCTGGTTACACGTAAAAACATCTCTTCGGTACATTATTATTGTTCATTCCTTGTGTTTCGAAAGAAACAGTGGGTGACACACCAATACTGAGGCTTAATATTTTGCCTGGAGTGGGCAAGATCATGACGTGTCACTAGTTCTTGCACAGGAAAAAGTCAACTTTCTTTTTAACAATTTAACAAGGTAGCCCTTATTTTAATACACAAGTACTTTTCCTTCCTTCCACATTTTTTGCAGTAGTGCAGTAAACATGTTCAGTGTGTTCTCTTAGTCCATTTTCAATGCCTCTTAGGGATTCTTCCTGGTCCCACTAGTTTTCCAGCTTCTGGTAACTTTGTGGTCTTCAATATTTTTACTTTTGTCGGAGGGTTGATGGTCACAACCGTTATTTATAGATGAGTCCTTTGTAGTGATCAACAAGGAGTTTTCTCTGTTCCTACTGTTTGATAATTATGTCTCCCCACATTATCTTTCATTTGCTTCATCTGCACTGAACTCGCTCGGGATAGTGACCTGACTATCTGATATAGCTTTGCAGCCTGTTCTGCTTTCGTTGCCAGCGTGTCATTAAAGCGACTTTTATCTTCCCTAGTACCCTTTTTCACTTCTACACATTGAAGGTGTTGTCTAGAAGGGAAACAGTAGCTTCGTAATTTAAATCACCCAGTTTAGAAAAGACAACTGTATGAAAATTAATTGCCTAATCTACAAATCATCGTCGTTTCAAGATTATTCTCAGCTTCTGTTCTGTTCTGGCACACCTTCTGTCTCAGTATTCAACTGTCCTTTATCAGCTTCCAGGTGACCTCCGTCACCCATTCCTTGCCTAGTCTCTGCTTCTTACCTAAAATATGTCGTGGAGAATAATGTCTTTTTTCTTCTGTACTGTGAAGTTTCTAACGTGATGGACGTAATCTTTACTGGGCAGGGTTGCTAGCCTAATGCTCAGCCTTTGCTCTTTTCCGACCTTAGAACTGGCAAATAATACTGATGAAGTTGTCCATAAATGTTAGCAACTAAGCAACTGTGTTTCTGAAAGCATATTTCAGCAATAAATTTCATGCTATAATTGGGCATTTCAACTATTATTAAAGTACGAAATACTACGAATTTTACTGTGGTGAATGCTACTTGTAATCAGATATAAGTAGTATATCAGTGGACGAACTCAGAAAAGAAACAATATATTTCGAACACCGGAGAAGAGAACTGTGAGTACAACGCTAGAAACACTGTGCAGAATCCAACAAGCTATCGAATACGGTGATATTCGGCCAATTTACAAATGATGTTCGTATCAATCATTGGAGATATGGTAAAGCAAATTTATGTACCTACAATGAGTGTGTCCTAATAAACATATCTTTCCTTCTTTCCACTTGGTGTTGCTGCTTCTGCCAGAGGTTTTTGAGGAGGGAGATGTGAGGACATTTCTCAGGGACTTATAGGCCATCACGGTCGTCTTGGGGGACTCTGCGAAGAGGCCGTGTGGATGCTGCCTATGACGACACCCGGAGGGTGGTGGCGTGGGACAGGCTCGTTTATGAGATCGACAGCCTCACAGATAGACAAGGGGCATTACAGAAGTTCCGGAATCTGAGGCTTGGTCGAGACAGGGATTCGCTGGTTCTTGCAGTGACGCTGGCAAATTTTCTGAGACGCGCATTACCCACCTTGGTTGAAGATTCGCCAGAGCATTTGAGGCCTGATTCTACAGTTTCATTAAAGGGTTTACTACAAGTTATGTTGACTAACAAAAAAACATTTCCAGCTAAACATCAAAGATGAACTGTTATTTGATATTTACAGCCGATTGTTAGCCTGATAGTTTGGCACGGAAAGTGAGTTAGAAAGTGTTTCCGACCGACTACTGGTCAGTGATATCAGTCCTTTTATCCAACCAGTGGTTTTTCTGACTATTTCTTGACAGAAATGATCTTTAATCAGCCGTCCTGTTAAGACTGTTTAATAGGACAATGACTTGACAGGTAACAGAAAAAAGTTTGATCGTCCCATAGAAGTTGGTGGGAATTTTCGCTTCACAGAACACTCAATGGTTGCTGAGAAATTTTAGAAATATGCGTTTGCAAATTTAGAGAAAATAAACCATAATCTTTTTATCATCTTAACTGTCATCATTCATGGTCTGATACTTCATGAATACGAATAATCTGCAGAACACCAAATCAAATCTTCAGTACTCAGCGTGATAATATGTAATATGTTCACTTAGATAAGAAATGAAACAATGGGGAATACTTCAAAATGAGAGTTATTCATCGATATAGTAAGTGAGATTTAGGAATAATATCCCAACAATATTAATAAGTCAAGTCAGATGACAAGATTTAAATGGGTTAATCTTAGGCTTGAATCAAAGCAAAAGAGTTTAAGGTCTAGCGTTACTGCCTATGCAGTCTAACAAAATCCCTACAAAACCAATACTTGAAAACTAATCTGATGCTCACTAGCGACTGGCCCTATTCAGGCAGTTAACCTGGGGTTCTAGTGCGAAGCTGTGACTAGTGCGGGGGCAGTAAGCTGAAGATGAAGCAGTAACTCATCGAAGAAGAAATTACAAAATGGTCGCACTATGTCATGAATTGGAAAAACTTAGAGTTCAAGGACCATTGGATCGGGTCCGAGTGGTTCAATGGTCTACGAGCTCGCTTTGTAACCAGAAGGCCTTGGGTTCGAACCCCGGTCTCTGTCTGGATTCAACATAGAACTTGCCACCGAAGTGCACCAGTTCGAGTTGCCACGTTCCAAATAGCACACAGAGGTAGACAAGAAGATGAGTGAAGAGAATCAATAGAGTTTGACAGGCATAAGAGCGAAACAGAATGGGTAATGGTAGAAAGAAATATGAAAGATTACAGAGACTGAATACATCTGCGCTGGCCATTGACAACGATTTTGAGCCATGTCACCTATTGTCTCCAGCCATTGATTCCTAGAGTCAGTCCCGAGGGCCCCGAACCGGAAGTCTGCATCTCCCTACCTGACTCAGTTTAACTGTCAGGGATTTCATGGATTTATGAGGCCATGTTTTTGTTTGGCCACCACTGGCTCTTTTCGAACCCCAGTGGGTGTGTACTGCTGAAGAGTTCCAAACTAGGACGGAGGATACGCCTGTCCAGTAGTCCCAGCTGGTTTTCCAACGGTTCTCTAACTGATGTCAGCTCGTGATGAAATCCTCCATGCAATAAAATATATAACACAATGTTAAATCTAACCATTATTAGATAACGAAGAAGTGGCGAACTACTTACCCATTATCTGATGTAATTGTTCCCTTGGTGTAAATGTTGCACCATACAACCAGTAGACATGTCTTGGAACATACAGTGTCGCTGAAATAAGACAAACGTTTAATTAATGAAATTTGTATCATACAATACATTGAAAAAAGTATTAAATAGCTCGATCATGTTATAAAATTGACGACTATGAGGGGATAAGTGTTACTTCACTGCCTTTTATTATGCATACTGGTTTATTTCCTAATTAAATTGGTCGTATTATATAATTTGATAGCCTTGTAACTGATGAAGGCGAAAATCCAACAGAAATTAGTTTATTTTCTTAATGAATTAAATTTTTTTGTTAACATATGTATGCTAACCAGAATCATTTTAGTTAGAATTCAATTGACAACGAATTACACCAATGTACCTCGTGTCAACATATTCATGTAACTATTAACCGAGTTAAGAGGAGACTACTGAAATGTCAGATCAACTGAATGGTACAGATCCGTAAAGATGTTCAATTGTAGTCACTGCATTCATGCATTTCGAATTCATACTCATGGGAGTAACTAAAATCTGTATCTCAAAGTATATCTGCTCACAGTATATGCGTTCCTGTCGGCACCACATTGGCGGCTTGCTTAAAATTTGGGCTGCCAAAAAGCCTCTATCAATATAATGCATATAATTTTTCTTATTCGATTTGCTCAAGCCTAGTGAAATATGACCTCTAATAGTACTATTTAACCCCGCGATTTCTAGTGTTGATGAGGAGTCCCAAACTAGGACGAAACAGCTGCCCAGTACTCCCAGCTGGTTTTCAAGTGGTTCTCTAACCAATGCCAGCTCATGATGAAATCCTCCATCCATCCAGTTTCTACTGAGCACGAGAAAAGGTGTTATCGTTGGCGGCAACGTATTCTAGTACAATGTGATAGCTGTTCCTGAGTTGGTTGACAAAATGCCCTCTTGAACTTTTCACCATTGAAATTCAACTAAATGTCGTGCGCTTCTCTTAAGGGGACAAAGAAGCAATATCATAATGGATTGGTTAGAACTTCGAGTCAGAAAGCCGTATGTCACACGATCCATTATCAGTTAATCTATTATTTGAAGATCCTAGACAAGAAGAAAATATCATACGATAAACTACACTAAAAATTCTGTTTTTTTATTCCTGTAAGTTCGCAGTGGAATATAAGAATGCCTTCAAGCTAGAGGCTTGAAGTTTCGGTAGCAGTGGTGCTTATTTTTCAAAGGATGAGTTTTCTGGCCCCATGCCCAGCCTTCCCTCTTATTACTGGCTTAGCGAGGTAAAGGAGTACGTCGGCCGGGGATGGAACCCTGGACTATATGCGTCGTTAACGAGCATCTATCCTGCTGCTGTGCCACCGATGCGCGAAAATTCTGTAAATTATAAAAACATTATATAAACCAATTGTTATTATTGATATTGTCAATTTTAGTTTCACAGTACACATGAAAGAAATTAGGCTGAGGTTTGATACGTCAATCACAAAAGTATAATAATTTTTCTTTTTCTTTTGGAAGCGTTACTAAACTGAAAGTGTGTTAAAAGAGAGCATTTACAAAACAGCCTCTATCAATGATTCGTTTGCTGAACACACATCAATAATTCTAAAATAGACTGATCAACTACAGTGATTTTACAGCAGAGACAAATCAATCGATCTACGAGAAAAGTATCCATTAAAAAGCGGAAGGATACTCAGTTAATGAATAAAGGTGTAAACTCTTAAATAGTTAGCAATAAGCGCTTACAAAATAAGCGAACTATTTCCTCCATTCTATATACAATACACCATTTGAAAACAAATACTTTGTAAGGTGTTTCCTTGAGTTTACAGATGGTATTTTCCACGGGCTGCTGTAATGCTGCCTAATGTCTGACAAAAAACTGTATTTTCAAGTAAAGGTTTTGTAGGGATTTTGTTTGATTGGATATAGGGTTTCATCATGAGCGTCGGTGGCATAGAGGCAAGGACGGTAGCCGACCATGCACATGGTCCGCGGTTCAATCCCCAGCCAGAAATAATGGTGGTAAAAAGGAAAGTTTGGGCATGAGGCTTGCAACCCCATCCTGTAAAAATAAAAAAACAGCGCTACAGAAACTTCAAGCCACTAACTTGAAGCCCTATGTTCCACTGGGGAACGTGAAGGAGAAAAAAATAAAATGAGCTGATATCGGTTTATCGACATAGGCATGGCAAAATGGTCGCGTTATGTCGTGAATCGGCAGGATTTAGAATTCATGGGCCATTGGATTGTGTCCCAGTGAATGGTTTAATGGTCTACGAGCTTGCTAGCCTTGTAACGAGAAGGTCCTGGGTTCGAACCGTGGCGGTGAGTGTGTACTGATGAAGAGTCCCAAACTAGGACGGGGGAAACAGCTGTCCAGTACTCTCAGCTGGTTTTCAAGTGGTTCTCTAACCAATGTCAGTTCATGATGAAATCCTCCATCCAATCGTACAAAATATATTCCTAAGTTTCTTACAAATCTAATCTGAGTTTCATCAGAAAGAAAAACAACCACCAGTTACTTTAGATAAGATGAAAGTTACCAGTGAACTATACATCTGCCAAAGAATGGAGACTTAGGCCTGTAGAAGAACTAGCGTGGAGTAATGCTTTTGTTGACACACGCCAAGTAAAATACTAAGTTTCATTATCCTGGAGAGAATAAAGGATGCATTGGACACAGAACTCCTCCTCAACAGAACAAGCTGGATTGAGGAAAGGCAAATTATGTGCTGATCAAATCGCAGCTCTACGCATCATCATCACAGAACAAAGCATAGAATGGCAGTCCAACGTGTATCTCAAAATCCGTCATTGACTTCGAGAAGGCCTTCAACAGACACCATTGGAGACTACTTCAACACTAAGGCGTACCTCAAGTCTTTTTTAACATCATTCAACAGCTAAATATATGACCATGCCACATGTCAAGTGTCTTACAACGGAAAACTCAGCGAGGCGTTCGAGGTGCACACAGGAGTAAGATAAGCTGGCTGCTTATTATCACCACTGATATTCTTAATTGTGATGGACTGGATTATGCGTCAGACTGTGTGTTCGGAGTGAGAAGACAGGAATACACTGAACCACCGATAAGCAGACTACAAGATCTGGAATTCATGCGTGGATGATATATGTCCAATGTCACACAAACTCGAAGACTTGCAGGCAGGTGTAAACCAACAAACTGTCAGAAGAGACCGGAACGCAGCTAAGACAGGACTCCAAGTGAACATAGAGAAGACGGAAGTGATGAAGATAACCAACCAACCATCGCCAATATCAACAACAGCAACAACAACCAGCATCAATGATCATCAGTAGGAGAGTTTTAACACAGGTTAATTCCCTCTTGCACTTATCTAGGAAGTACGGTTTCAACCACAAGCAGCGGGGACGCATGAAGATGTCAAAGTCAGAATTGGAAAGGCAAGATACGCCTTCATCAACCTGAAACCAGTTTGGAAATTTTCAGCACTCAACCAGCCATGATAAAGAAAAAGATTCGCATTTTCAACACTAATGTGAAGTCATCAACAACTGCCTTCTCTGGCTCCATAATGAAAATAAAACTGCAGGTCAGAAAGAACAAGCGACAAGAAACTATGTGAACAGATCAACAAGCAAGAGCTGATTGTTCAACAAGTTTTTAGACGAGAATGGAGATGGATCGAGCACACTTTGAGGAGGCCAACGAGTGATATGGCATGCCAGGCCATCGCTCGTGTGGAATTCAAATAGGAAGCAACGAGTGGGTTGCTGGTGCGAGGGTGACATGGAGTAGATCGTGTGAGGAAGAGATGAAAGAGTTTGGTCAATCGTGGAGCAAGCCAGATGAAGAAGACAGAAGAAAACAGAAGGAAGTGGAGATATGTTGTTGAAGCCCAATGTTCCACTTATAACGCTATGGAACAATAATAATTAGTAATCTTTTCCCACCTATCCATGAATATATCTGCTACAACAGGGTGAAGGGGGGTACTGATAGTGGAAGTTTTGTTTATCAAATCAACTGCACACATGCGTAATAGGAATGATTCAACACCTGTCCATCCAGACATCTGGAAAATTCTACTTCTCCAACGACGGCTAACAGGACAGAACAAAGAAAACTACAGAACTCAAGTTTCGAAGTCGTGTGATTGCAGTTGATCACATGATTATGAGCAATATTAGACTGTGTTCGAAGCCTCGTCATCCAGTTAATAGTACTGTTTCATTCACTGTGTGATATACCTAATAAACAGACGAATATCAATCAAGAATGTGATCCAAACCTATTATATAACTACTTGTATTACTGATATGCCTGCAGAAACCTTGAAAGTAAAACTTACCGTTCACAACTGTAGTAAAGTACAACTGTGTGTCAAAAATTACGCATTAAAATTAGGTGAGTTGAACAGTGGGAATAAGTCTTTTAATAACACTTTTTGAAGAGGGTTGTATTCTGCTGTATAAGACAAACACTAAACTCCCAAAAAGACTGACAAACATAAAGAATACATACCCATTAATAAGCATGCTTGTTTTAAAGTAGCACGGGAAGTGGAAATCCACGAAATTTAAAGTAATTTTAATTTAACGATTAAAATAATTTTACTGCCTGAAACAAAGAGTCTTGGTATAAATAGTTTGGTTTAGAAAAAAAATAATGAGCATTTTATTCTAGGCGTCAGTGGCACAATGGTAGAGTGCTCGCCAACCATATGCAGGTGGTCCGGAGTTCCATCCTCGGCTTATGCACTCCTCTACCTCGCCAAGCCAGTAATAAGACTGATTAAGATGGAATGTTGAGCATGAGGCTAACAATCCAATCCCGTAGAAAAGTAAACAGCCCAGCTAACGAAACTTCAAGCCTGTTGCTTGAAGGCGCCCTATGTTCCACCAGGAATAATGTAAAGGAATAAAATCTTCAAAGAATCACTTTATTCCACACAATAAACATCCTACAGAATGGAATTTTCAGCCCTTTTTACATATCGCTTCAATTTAGCCCATTTTGTAAATATATAAGCACATAAAATTCAAAAAAATAACAATAAAACCACAAAAACTAAAAGTTAGTGGGACATAATAAAGTATAAATAAATAATGTAATATATAATACATGTAATAATAATAATAATAATAATATCTGCTTATACTTTGCAGTTCAGTCACTGATTTAAAAAGTTTATAAGTACCTTTCTGACCTCTGACTCTTCATACAAAACCTTTGCTTAATATGGTAAAGGTGAATTTTTATATTTTTGCTGTACAAGCATAAATTCTCCTGGTTCTAACGGAAGAGACACAATGAAAAAGTTGACAGTAAAGAGAAGGATTTCCGGCCTATTTAACTGGCTTCACTTAAGCAGTTAAACTAATAGACATACATAATAGAAGAGAAGAAATTAGGCAGTTTATCTTTAACTCCGGAATGCAAATAAGGGTGGGTGGTTTTGAAAATACAGAATAATTCAGAAGCAGTGAATGCGGTTTTTACCTCTGTATTCCTTAGGCGTAGTGTTAATATCTCACTGATGTGTTACCCCTAAGGAATTGAGGTTGTAAGAATAAGGCCTTTTTCGGAATTGTTGGAACTCTGACCCGCCTAGCTTTTTGATTCACAACATATTTATCTATATATACATACATTGTTATCTTCTAAAAGATGGTGGATAATATTCCTCAAGACTTGGTTTGCAAGGATTAGATTTGTTTTTACGGGTTTGATCACGGATTGATATCAGTTAGGGGACCATTGGAAA